TAAATTCTCAAAGTTTTTTTTTTTTTTCGTAAAATATCAATAATAAAAAAAAACCTAAGACAAAATCGAATTTAGAAAAATTGTTAAAATATCAGTCAATATCTAAAACCACGACACCCACCATATTTTATTTTTATTTTTATTTTATTTATTTATTTTATTTTATTTGTAATTTTGTCCAAAATCCTCAATTTTAGTATGGTAAAGATAATACATCACAAACCTGTATTTGGTAACCAGAATATGAAGGAAAATGGTGATTGAAGCCCGAACAAGGTCTGCACCTGCACACTGCTTTATACCTCCACCAAAGGGCTTCAAATTCTTGCTAATAAATTCTGGTCCAACATCCTATTGTATCAAAAAAAATTATTTCAATGTTATTTATTATCTAATATGTTATTTTGCCATTCAAATATAATATATACTAGTATAACACGTAGGATTACGCGTGTGAAAGTTCAAAAATTAATATTTAGAGTGAGACATATATCACTTGTACGGTTTGCTCATCTTATATTATAATAATTTTTCTAATCGGTAAATTCATATATTACCTTTTCAATTGACATATAAAATTTTAATTTTTAATTAGTATTAGTAAATGATTTAATTTTATAAATAAAAAAAATTATTTTATATATGCAATGTAGATATCAGATCGAATTTCGTCAAAAAAATATTTAATTTGATATACTCCATATGAAAAAGTGATGACAAATAAAAAAATATGACTTATGAAGCACCAGAGTTCGACACATAAGATTACGTCATTACGAAGCACCATAATCTTAAAATTTGATATGTTGAAAATTTTAGTTGATCAAGTGTTTTATAATCTTAAAAGCCTAAATGGACTACTCTAAAGCATCATAATTTGACACATAAAATTACGAAACATACAAAGCGACACATAGAATCATGAAGCACTAGAGGTTGACATGTATATTTGGAAAACTCTGCATTTATATGTAGTAGGGATTTGCTAAATTATGTGTAGTATGATAGAACCATACGATATAAAAATATCATAATAAATAATTAATAATAACATTATGTACTGTTGTCATATAATTACCGTCCAACGCCAAGGATCGAATTTTAGAGGATCTTTGTATATGTTGGGGTCTAAATGCATAGTTGACTGACAAACCATAATTCCCCATCCTGCTGGAATTGTATAACCTGTAAGATATTGATCTTTATATTGTTATTCAAGTATTAATAGTCTAAACATTAGATCAAGAATCCTAGGGTTAATAATAAGAAAACAATAATTAATTTATGTTACCTATAATATTATGTACATCAAACAGATATTTTTAATAGCTTATAATGTATCTATAATTTTGAAAAATAAGGTTTATGTTTGAAATGTTTCCTTTTTGAATTACAAAAGTATGTTCAAACTTCCATGGTAGCTTCTGTAGTTCCTAAAAGCTTAATGTATAATAAGCTTTAAAATAAAAATACCATTATATTGTATATCCTTTACAGCTCTCCTTAAAAATCCAGGAATAGTATTTCCCAATCTCAGAGTCTCATTAACTACCTGCACACATGTATTTGGTAGTCAAATAACCAATAAAAAAAAAGGTCATGTGTATGGTAAATTTCACCCTAGCCATAGGTAATGCCCCACGGGTCTTAACCGTCAGATCATCATACATACGTCCATACAGACGTGTATGATCTAACGGCTATAACCCAGCTGGAAGACTACCCATAAGATCGAATTAGCCAGTAAAAAAAAAAAGAGAATAATAATTATATATAAACACTGACTTGAAGAGTAAAGGTCATGGATTTATACTCTTCCCAAGTAATTGGGGAGTTAGAATTCTCTCTTCTTGAGAGGATTTCTTCATGCTCAGCCTGCAGTCCAATGAGAGAAAAAAAAACAATTTAATTTTGGAAACAAATTTATATAGTAGTAAAATGAAATAAAAAAAATCGATTGTTCTAATGTTCCACTCACAATTAACTCCCGAAGAACCGCCGGATTTTGTGCTACGAAGTTCACCACATGCGTCAGCATGCCGGAGATTGTCTGAAACGTGGCAAACGACATTGAAAATAAGAACTGCGAAATATATTGCGGCGTGAGAAATTTGTTGGTCTTCATGTCGTTGACCATCTCATCGAGCACGTCGCCATGATTATTCGGAGGCGAAGCAATCCTTTCAATCACGATTTTCCTTACCGTGTCTAACGCTTCTTCCTTGACCTATAATAGTTAAAAAGGTATTTTTAACTCAAAGGTTGTTATTCCAAAAACAGTATAAATTAAAACAGTGTGTGGCCCGTCTGAAGAATTGTTAAATGAAGTGAGCCGCACGTGAACTCGACTCAGCTCGATAAGATATATTTTTTTATATAATTTCCTATTATTCAGGTTGTCAAAGCTCGAGATCGGCTCGTTAAGACTCGAACTCGATTCGTTAATATTGATAGACGAGCCAAACTCGAGTTCGGTTTCTGGCTCGTTAAGGGCTCGAGCTTCAGCTTGAGCTTGGCTTGTCTGCATGCATAATGGCTCGAAATTGGTCGGTTAAATGAGTTCAATTAATATTTATTGAATAAACAATATGTACTATTGTAGTGAATTGTATGGCGAAATAGGTTTTTTTTGTTCCTTAACTGACAACGTTTTCGCTTCTAGTCCCAGTGAAGCTCCTTTTTTTGAAATGGTCCTCTAGGTGAAAAAAATTAGGTTTTTTGTCCTTTGACCACCTGTGGTCAGAGTTTCCGGCTAGCCTACGTGGAAATTCACCTGATTTTTTTCGGCCTAATGATTAGGTGACATAATTGCAAAAAAATGCAAGGAGGGGAGAATTTGAACCTGGGACCACTACCATTCCACAAAGTTAAGATCCACTTTATCTAACACATCTTGTGTTAAATATTTGACTTCACTTATATATCTACCAACATCATTTTATCCATACATACATATATATATATATATCAATTTATACTATTTTTAATTATAAAATATTTATTTATTAATTATGCATTAATTACGAACTAAAGATGAGTAAACTAAATAAATAATAAAGAATATTATATTATTTTATTACCTTGTTTAATTAAACTTTTATTATCATTAATGTTTTCTTATACTAATTTACTTAAATAAATTTTAATTATTTTTCTTATATATTAAATAAATATTTATATTAGATATATATTATCAAAATAAAAAATTATATTAAAGAATATAATAAATAATATATTTAACGTATTTTGAATAAATAAGTATATTAAATTATTAAATATATATACATTATATATTAATTAAATAACTATATTAAAGGATCTTGATATTAAATAAATATATATTAAATAAATTTCTTTAATTAAATATTTACTAAATAAATATTTAATATATTCAAATAAATTTTATTTGTCTATTAAAAAATTATTAATTTACTAAATAAATGTATCCAATAATTTAATAAATAAATAAATATTTACAATAAAAACACATATATTAAATAATATAAATAAATTTATCAAATCAGTAAACATATTAAATATATTTAAAACTAAATAAGGTCATAAAAAACAACATAAATGATATTGTAAGTTAAATTACAAAATACCATTTAGTATTTATTTATTTTAATTTAATTATTTAAATACGAAATATTTTGAATATGTTTTAATTAAAAAAAAAATAAGTAAACTTAAGAAATAAATAATATTATTCTATTTTATTTTATTTGTAGTTTATATCTTATACTTAGTTATAGTTTATTGTATTATATGATTTAAAAAAAATATTAATTATGAACAAAAACTAAATAAAATTAATAAAAAAAAAATTATACTACTTTATTTTCTGATTATATGCTTTTTTTAATTATAATTTATTGTATTATTTTTAATATAATAAATTATCTAATATATTTTTTTTATTTATTAAACAATTATTTAATATACAACAAAAATAATTAAGGCTTAAAATGGTAAATTAGTATAAAGATACAACATATGAAAGTTTGATTAAACAAGGTAATTAATAATGTAGTATTATTTATTTAGTATACTGATTTTTATTTCGTGATTAATATAAATATACATAAATAATATATTTATATGTATTATAATTAAAAGTAGTATACATTAAATTATATTTTGATAAAAGATGTTGCTAGATATATAAGTGAAGTCAAATATTTAACATAAGATATATTGGATCAATTGACTTATAAGCTCATTGGGTATGGTAGAGGTACTAGGTTTGAATCACCCTCTTTGCAATTTTTTACAAAATCAGGTGAATTTTCCGGTATCTCTAACCTGCTACCGGAGGAGCAAAACACTATTTTTTATCACAAACCCCCAAGTAGTTATTGGTCATATTTTATAATTTTGCAAATTGATTAAATGGGTTGCAATTAAAATAATTACCTTGAGACATTTGTGAAATGTTGTACCAGGAATGTTCAAAGGAAACGACATCGCAGCTCTACTGAGATTGATGAACAAATCTGCAAAATCTTCTGAGCTCTCACCACCATGAGTATACAGATGTTTCCCGCAAAGTTCAGCAAACATCTATATATTAAAGAGATTTAAAAAGAACATGTTAGTAATCAAATTAATTAGAAACGTATAAAGTTTTGGTCCCATTTGTACTCTCGGGAGCAAATTCGAAATAATACTTTTACTGGAAAACAAAAATATATATTTATACTATGAAATGTCGTAAGTTACAGAGATTCTGTTTCTTCTTCACTCTCAGTTTATAGAGATTTTGTTTCTGTCCTTCACGATTGCTTCTGGCGCGAATAATTAATCGACATACTTTTTAATGCTCATATGGTTACTTTAAAGTGTACATTTGTTTTTGTTATGTTGGGAGTGGGGAATTTGTAGGAGTTGTATGAAGTGTTATGGCTTATAATTGAAAAGGCATTAAATACTAATAATATATAAGTGATACAACTTATATAACATTTTTAAATAAAGTGTTATTTATTCTTATTCTTCTTATAGCTGTTTAGCCTGGTTGTTATAATAAGTGTTATCTAAGGCCTCCATGTTTTTTACATAGCACTAATTTCAAAAAAATGTTATGTCAAAAATGTTATCTGCATATTATCAGATTGTCATATGTATATAACCATATAAGGAAATTAATTAAAGAAAACTTATCCAACAACTTCGATTAACCATTGCGGAAATTAATCGAGGAAAACTTATATATCTTACAGCAATCGAAGCACGTTCGACTTCAATCGAGTCTTGCATGGACCATGAGTGAATGTGCTTGCGAGCAATCTCTTCAAACTCCGTAAGCAGTTTTTGCCTGATACTCTCCGAGCCAAAGTGGTTTAAGACCAAATTCCTTGTGTACTTATGAATAGTGAGACCGTCGGGTCTAAATTCCCCGTGTTCGAAAACCTTGGCAAACAAATCGAGGTACCAATGGACGACCAATTTCTCTTCTTGCTGAAAAATATAACGGTTTAATTCTTGATCGGCCGATACCACCACATTGTGGCCAACAACGTTTGTACGAAACAACAACCCATATCTGAAAAATAAATAAAAAATTATGTTAGCATATATGAATGAAATTATAGTACATACATATGTGTATGTTTAAGTAATCTAGGTAAGTTTATGTGTCACTTTATTCTAGAGTTTTTATTTTTCAAGCATTGGAATGACTTTGGAGTCCTTCTACTTTATGTCATTCAAGAGTTAGGTAGATTTGTATACAAGCTATACAAAAATTGATTTGAGCTCAATTTTGTTTTGGTTACATATAAATGAACCTAAGTTTTGAATGAAAAACATCGACTCAAGTAAGAAAAAAAAAAAAAAAAAAAAAAAAAACAGAAAAAATCATTCAAATGACAAAGAATTTGCTTTATAATAATTGCTACAAATAAAAAGGAAAATAAGTTTTATACATTGGTCTCAAAACTAGACTTTGGAACAAAGAGCTCTAAACATCTTTTAACACATTAACAATTGACTTAAAAAGCTTTGACTTAACACCATTTTAGTTCCAAGAAAAATAACATGTACATGTGGATCAACATTAATTTTGTTACATATATACCTTTGGATTTTTTTCTTAAGGAATGGATGAACATCAGGGGAGTAGCTTGGTATGAATAATTGAAGAGTCTCTCCAATGAAAGGGAAGCCTGAGGAACCTGGAGGAAGTTTGCCTGCACATTTAGGGTTCATCCATAGGTAAATCATCTGGGTAAGAAATATTATGAGAAGGGCAAAAATGACATAAAGATACATTTTTATTTTTATTTTTGCTCTAATTACGCTTGTAATGAGGAAGTAAATGTGGTAGTGTCATTGTGATTTGTGTTCTATTAGGGGTTAAATAGATGAAAGGGGTTTACATGTGGTGGGGACACTGACCTCCAATCCAACAGTAAACTAGGCATATGCACAAATTACATAAAATAAAACTTTGTATATAAAAATAATAACTAAAATAAAAAAAATCTATTTAATAAAATGTATGAAACTTATAATTGAATTGTCAACAAAAACTACTCTTAGCTGAAATTTTAAAGTTCGATAAAAGAAATGTTAAAGTGGAATTTATCATATATTAATGATAGTTATTATATAAATATAATAAATATTAAAATTTTATATATCCTTCGATGATGATAATAATAATAATAATATCGCAAATAATAATAAAAATTAAGTGTAATAATTAATGCAATATCCTTCGATGAAAATAGTCAAAGGATAATAAATCCTATCCAATTCATTCCTATTTGTAGCATCTTAATGCAATTCAAATACTATTGTACAGTGGGTACTGAGTAGGATGCAAATGGTCAAAGGATAATTAATCCTATTCAATTCATTTCTATCCCTAGCTTTTTAATGCCATACAATTAATGAAGAAAACTATTAATTGATTATGTACACATGTGTATGTATAAATATAAATTGTTATAAATAATGTCTATGTACAATATTATACTTATACAACAGATAATGAAGACATCATATTTTACAAATTTGATCATTTGTAAATAAATAGCATAAATATAAATTATTTAACTAAACATGAGCTACTATATTGATTACATAAAATGTGATAATAATATAATTTTGTGATTTTCAAGGATCCAAACCAATTAATTGTATAGAAAAATATTTAAATAATGATAATATAAATAAATTATTATTATTATATTATTACTCAAAAAAATTTCTTAATGATAATAATAATTTTAATATTAGGAAAAATATTTTGAACAAATAAAATAAATTAAATTATTTAAATATACAACTTCCATACACCATTAAGTATAAATTATACTTATGTTTGTAATAATAATAATAATTAATATATACATACATATATAAAGGCATGTATTTATGTGAAATAGTAAAGTTTTTCTGCAAAAAACATTGTTATTAAATAAAGAAATATTTTTAAACATCAATTTTTACCATTTTTTATTTCTTTTTGGTAATTTTTCCTTTACCACAAGTTGTGAGACTTTTATTTTTATGTTACGTAATATGATATCAATCATTGATCTAAATATATTAACTAAACTTTTCAAAAATTGTCAATCAATATTTTATTTTTGTCTAATCTATTTTAATTTTTTTAGTGTAAATATCAATAATATGAGATATAACATTTAAAGTATGCGTGTGCAATTATGATTGTTCATAAAGTTAAGGTTGCATTTTACATAGGTTTCAAATCCCAAAAGCACATATAGTACAGTTAGAACCAATATTTTACCTTTTTAATAAGGCCAACATTGTAGCAAGTTTTGCCACCGCCAACCACAAGAGGGAGGCTCTCAATTTATTTGATGAAATTCACTCTCAAAAGCTACTCCAAACTTGTCTTATAAATTGACAAAAATTGCAAAATAAATCACAACATATGCTTTCGTTAATTTAAACATGACTACTGGGGTGCATTCTGAAAATCCACTCCAAAATAAGATAGAGTTTTTTCATAGAGTATTTAGCGTATCCTCATCAACTATTGGATCCAATGAAATGAAAGAGATTTATTCCTATTTACGGGTGTAAATGAACCGAGTTGCTCATGAAATATTCAGAACGGAGGCTTATGATTGGTTATAGTAAATGAGTTGAGGTCAAGGTTAACAATATTGTTGCGTTAACTCTTGAACAAGTCTGTGAGAGGACTCGTAGCAAGCTCCCCAAAGAGCTCGAGTAAGTTAACCTAATAATTCAACCTCAATTCAAATTTCTATACATGTAAATAGAAAATAAATAAGTGTTCTTCCTAATAACATGTAGATATATCCTTTTAGCTACTAAATAGTAAATAGTAAAGCAAAGTAAAGTTAAGGCCCTACTCAAAGAGAACGAGAGAGAGAGAGAGAGAGAGAGAGAGAGAGAGAGAGAGAAACATACCAGGCCACAAAAAACCAGGTCAACCCTTTCTAAACGAGATGGATTGCAGCAGCTTTACAGCACCAAAGCAAAAAAGCTTGTCAACACTTTCCTTCTTTATGCCCACACCGGACTACTATAATCTGCACTTGAAAGATAAAGTACTGAAATGTACAGGAAAACTGAAAGATAAAGTACAACACAATTAATAAACGTCACAGCTAAAAGATATCCACTGAAGCATGAACCAAACATAATAACCCAACATGAAATCCATTAATTTAAAAATAATGATATAGTACAAATTAATTTGGCTCAAGTAAAGATAATCACCGAGCCTTAACAAAGTTCAATCTGGTTAAAGCATATTGAACTGTCCATATCCATATCATCCTTCAGAACCCCATCACCAACCCGGATATGATGAAATAGATGAATTGCGACGCTATTTCGTGAATACGTGTAATTATCTTGAAAATAGATTAACCAGATTTTTTTTCCCTGGAAGGGACAAAAGAAAGATCTTGCAAACTCTAAAGAGATCGTATATTCGAGACTAAATTATTTGTGCAGGTTGAAAGTTCTTTTAATATTATTGATTGTATTAATACTTCCCTCCGGTCGAGTGACTATATAGTACCTCTCCCGATCACATATTTGAGACTGGTTTATTTCTACAGGTTGAAACTTTAAGCATCATTGAGTGTATTAACTATTAATAATACGTACCTGATCATTTTCATCCAAGAATGATGTCAGTTCATCTAGTTAAGCATGAGAGAGTAACTACCCGAAGATAATAAATTCATGTCACCAAAAGGTTAACCCAGGAAGACAATCTCTTCCACATGATGTACTAGTAAATATAACTGATATGAATTGACACAAGTTAACTCCAAATTCGAGCACCCATTTCATTCGACTAAGCTCTAATCGTGCTAGAAGTTGGAACAGTACGCACTACAGCCTTTTTTATTTCAATATCATTTTGTGACCCCGATTTTTCTACCATCTCTCATTATCTCAGATAAAATTCTGCTGAAAACTACAAATCTCTTTCAGTGCACATAAGTCGATCATTTTTCCATGAGTTTTCAGACACTCTCATTGTAGTTTTTCATATTCATTAGTCAATAGTTAGCGAATCAACTATCCAATCTTTGATTAACGTCTCATAAGCCAGCCACCAAATGGACCTTCCAAATACCATCTAATTTAGACCATAATTAATATGTTTTACTGAAATCTGCAAGAAAATATAGACGAAATTGTACGAATAAGTGACCAACTCTAATCTTCATTGGTAATTAAAATTTGAAGAAATTCAACTTACCCAAGTCTAAATCCCAAAAAACATGCACATAACTCAAATTTGCCATTACAGCCTGATGATCAGGATTCTGAAACACAAAAATTCACCGGTTTCTTCACACGTAGTTATATTCAACAAACTATTCAAAATCTGCAGAATAACAATTAGATCCACAAGACGAGGCTCTTGGGATAAGGTGACAGATTCAGATAGAATCCAGCCAACTACATTATCTACCAGCTTCAAACTACACAACACAATTATTTCGTTCGCAGGAAGAAGAATTTCTCAAATACCTGACCACTACATTTGAAAAAAACAACAACAACAACAACAATTGACGATAATTACTTTCGATTTTCTTGTAGTGTTGCGTACCTTTAGGGGCGTAGACTTTCCGCCGCCATTGGTAACTAGGAGCATCCACAGCTGTCCGGCAAGGATGCATAGCGAGCAGCTTTGAAAATCGCAACGAATTTTTCTTGCCGAGAGTGAACCAAGCAGCTGAAATTCCGATACTTTATCGGCAGATTTTCGGCGATCATGCAGCTAGTTCCGGCGAGGTGAGACCGGGAGAGCGGGAGCTGCTCCGCCGCGGTGGCGCGAACCACGGCGATCGAATTCGTTGCTCTAAATACAGTGAGATTAGTTAAATAAATAAACCTATCGGAGTAGTATGGGCTTCGTAGAATCGACTGTACGAGATTAATTAAATACAATGAATAAGGGTGCAATTGAATAGAGCACATCGACCCAAGTGGAGAGTTGGGGGTGCACGGTGCGATAGTTAGAGCTATTCGGGAGTTGATGCATCGAGACTGGACAGTGTACATTGCGCACTGTTATCGTGAAGCTAATTTTGCTGCAGACTGCCTGGAGACGCTAGCCCATTCATGCCCCAATGGCTGCCAGCGACAGTTCGATCCACCGATAGAAGTCAAACCGTGGCTAATGCATGACGTCTTTGGCGTTGCGTATCCACGGAACACGTCTATCTAGAGGTGCTAGGCTACGGCCTCCTTCTATTATACCAAAAAAAAATAGGCACATCGAATTCAAACTGAAATTTAATACGAGTGTACGAGTATATATATAGTTTTATGACCACCTCGAATTTGAATAAAATTTCAGTTGTAGTTTTTGAGCACCTCGGATTCGAACTCCAATTAATTTGAGTACGTAGTTCTATGAGAACCTCGGATTTATATACAATTTCGGTTGTAGTTTTGGGCATTTCGAATTTGATATAGGATACCATACCGGGTCGACTCGACTTGAGAAGAATTCAAGCTAAACCACGTGAACCGGCAGGTCGATCGGAGGTTGGAGACCATGGAGGTCGTTGAAGCAACAGGCCGATGGTGACTCCACCGGCAAGGAGATGCGTCAACAGGTTGAGCTAAGGCTCTCGGGTGTTCTGGTAGAAACTCGACCTGGATGTACGCAGGTCGATGGATCAACTTCCTATGGAGGTACGCAGGTCGATGGATCAACTTCCTACAGAGTACACGAGCATAACGAGAGACACTCTAACTCGAGGAAAATTGGGTTGATCGTACTATTAAATCGTCTAAAGGATATACTGAGGTGTAAGAATATTATTTGGATAAGAACTACACGTGGATTGGACCACACAACCTAACAGAACCTAGCAGTTCGGGCACCTAGACAGTACAAATGGGCAGTTATGACACTCGGACAGCCTATTCAGAAAGACTTGTGCAACAAGATACCACCCCTATATAAAGAGGTGAGGTATGACAATCCAAACTCTTGACACTCTTTATACTTAACAAAGCTTATATACAACGTTCAACATTTTTTTCATCATTGTGGACTGACTTGATCGTTGGAATGCTAACGCTAGAAACATCTCTCAGGTCTTCGAACAGGTAAAAAATTATATTCAGGTCGTGTAAGTTCGATCGAGATTTTTGGCCCACCAAAATCAAATCCAAATTCAATTCAAGATGTAGTTTTATGAGCACCTCGAATTCAAACTCAAAAATTCAATTCGAGTACGTAGTTTTATGAGCACCTCGAATTCGAACTCAAAGGAAGTTCGAGTGTGTAATTTGTAAGCTCGAGCGTTATCATTAGACATTTTTATTAAGGAGTATATTCGTTGGGATTTTAAAACTTTTTAAGACTTCAGAAATTCTGAAGTATTTAATCTAGATTTTTTATATTTTTCAAAGTTCAAGATATTCATTTGAGATTTTAAAAAGTCTTACAAAATCTTGAGTTATTTGATTTATTTGAGACTATGATTTGTTAAGACTTTTTTAAGATTTGCTGAGATTTCAAAAGAGAAAAACTCATACACGAAATTTCACTTCAAATCCCACCTCCAGCAGCCCCCGACGACACGCCTCAGTGCAAGGCGGTACAACCCCGTGGCTTCCATCATGCCGCAGCACGACGCAATGCCACTGGAGACGGCCAGTGCAGCTAGCGCGCTATCGCAGCGAACAGACGACGAGCAGCGCAGCAGCCAACGTGCGATCCTCGGCGCGACAGACCAGGCGACGTGAGCGAGCAGCATATGGTGAGGACTCGACAGAGGCACACGGACAAGGCGAGGTGGACGAAGGAAAGTTGAAGAACAATCTCAGAATTGTTCATTCGGGTCCATAGCTTGTGTAATCTGTAAAGGGTCTACTTTTGTTAAACCGTAAGATCTTGATGCTAAACTATTGAGATTTCACAATATTATTCCTAAATCTGCAAATCTTAAAAAATCTCAAATTTCAAAAAATCATAAAACATCACTTGAAATCCTAATCGAATACACTATAAAATTTCAGACCAAACTCACGTGAAATTCAAGTCGATCAAATTCAAACCAATTCGAGCGCCTGGATTATTTTATGGAGTCAAGCCAAGCCTGAAAATGTTTGATTTTATAAAGCTCGAGCTCGACAGCCAGAAAATTGAGTCTAGCTCGATAAAATCAATATTTAACTCATGGAGAATGCCATTAGATTGGGAAAGGTGAAGTTTGGAATGGCTGGTTTCGAGCCCAGATATTGGGATGCTGGTTTGAAGCCCAGATACAATATGGTTCCTTCAATCTTCTGTTCTACTCTATATTAGAACAATGGTATTTGGCACCAGTACAACAGACCAACCCCACGTTAGGTCCACTTTTTGCAACTAAGTTTTCCACATTACATGCATAGCATCTGGAATATTTTATCTTACAACTACCATAAAACAGAAAAAATTGCAGAAACCTGATAGTATAAAGTGGCACAGTGATTACTAATACGGCACAACTTGTACGAACAGTACCAGCCATCCATCCGAACAAAAATCTACGTATGTCCACACAGATTTCTGCATATATTAATATTGCTCAAATGAGCTTCAAATACATTAATAAATACCGAGCTGTCCCCAATATATTTTCTACAAATCGAGGAACCTCACCAAAACAAAGAAAAAAAAAAGGGAAACGATCGGAAAGCAAATGCATATATTCGAACTGCACAGCATCAAAAGGACAAAGGGCTCGAATACATTCTCTTTTTTTTTTCTGATTTAAACTCCCTGCACTCTTTCTCAGCTAGAAGATGCACCATCAAAAAATTACTAGACACCAAAGATATACATGTTGACAAAAAAAAAAGGAAAAAAAAAAAAAAAAAAATCTCCATTTTGCCTCATTTCTCGATGCCCTGCTGTAAATACTGAATCAGATCGTAACCTGCGGTGGTCCATTTATTATAGGCATCATTGCAAATTCGGATCATGAAATTAGCTGCCTCACGATCGCTCATTTCCGGATGGAATCTCTTGCGAAGATTCCCAATCGGGTCCCCTCTGCCGAAGCAAGGCAACCCACTGTCCATCATCATTAAGACCGTGTTTATTATCCCATCCATATAGCGGCGTGCAGCAAGGTAGCCCTTCACGCACAAGCTGTGCAAGCAAGACATAATATTATAGATTAGTGGTTTTTATCTAAGTTAAACTTAGTGGACTTATTCATAGTGTGGTTTTAGACACAACAAATAATAGTTGTTTCTAAAGAATTTAAATTAACGGAACTATAGTAACATCAACTGGAAAAAAAAAAATAATCATCGAAGCATCGTGAAAAAGCAGAATCTTACCGTACGAATTGGTACCAAGTGTCGCTTTTCATTACCCCAGATGGATCGAGTAATTGGGTCATTTCATGACTCAGTTTGAAGTGGGCACTCTCAAATCGCATATTATTACCAGGTGAAGTTTCCAAAATAAAACCAAAATCAATATGGACGAGCCTGCCTACACTGCATTCACAAAAAGAGATATCAAAATCTTAGTTTGACATAGTATTTCGTCAGTTTCATACCCTAGGAAAAAAAAAAATTGCAGAAACATAAAAAGATCACCACATAAATACCACCCTGAAAGGAGAAGTGTTTACAATGATCTTTGAGGCTTCTCATGGTCACAGGAAATCTTTTAAATCTGTTTTTGTATTTTTCCTTTTTTATTTATTGTCTGTGCGCGCGCATGTGTGTGTGTGTGGGAGGGGGGGTATATTTGTAATTTTCAAAGGCTGTGGATACTGCTAGTGTTTCATAATAACTGAAGCATAGACATCTGGCCGGCTCCAACAAACGAGCAAAAAAAAAAAAAAAGATCTTCATATCAAAAGAGTCACGGCCCTGCTAAGCTACCCTATTACAGATATGCTAATAGCAACCATTCAGCTGTAGCTTCTCGCCCACCAATGATCATACGGTGTATAGATATGCTTACTTGTCAAACAAAAGATTCCCGTTATGCCTATCCTTAGGTTGAAGCAAGAGGCTAGCAACTGCATATCCAGCACTGCTAATGAGGAAATTTTCACGAGCAGCTTCGAAGCTTGGGGACCCAACAGGCCCAAAGTCCTGCTGAAAAATCTCATAAAGACCACCATCAGTGGTCTCACCCATCTGACTCCTGCTTCGTGAATTTGGCACCACCTGCCAAGACACGTGGTGAAGATTAAATACATCACAAAAGTTGACATTAAAATTGTGAAAAAACAAACAGTATGGTAAAGATAGATAATTTAATGGAAATCAAATGTGTGAGCGAGCTGATGAAGAAAAAAATTATGCAAATAGAGATTTACCTCAATAATGCCTCTCTCTGGTCCAGTTGGCAGTACTCCATAAGGAAACAAATAGAGATTAAGCCCAACGGCTTCAAAGATGTCCTTTAAAAGTGAAATAACTTGCAGAGCTAAAACGTCTTGTCTGCAGTCATCTCCAACCTATATATAAACTAGCTCTATGAGGCAATAATTTTTATGTTTGATGAGAAAAATTGAATTTTATATTAAAAAGAACATTTGTTATTTTCATTAACAAAAAAAAAAATCGAATGGCTTTCTTGGTCCCAAGAAAGTAGAGAAAATAGCCAAGATTTCATCTCACCACCATCTGATACAAACCTAAATCATAGGATAGAACATGTGTGTGTGTGTGTGTGCGCGTTATATAAATACATCAGTAAACCATAAACAGGAGATAAGGAAAGTCTGATATCCCCATCTCAATTGATTTTTGAAAGTCAAATTTTGACTCTGCAGCTTACTCATGCTCAGTAGATGATAAAACAGTGCACATGCATTGAGTATTACTTTTCAACCCCACTGGCGATTTGATAGTGAGATGTTTTATTTTCCAGGTTGGAATGGCAAGACAAATCAGATGGTAGACAATGGTTCTAAGTTCTAACACAACAGTTGTTAATATACACATTTATTGAATAGAAGTCAAATTTTGACTCTTCAGCTAACTCATGATCAGTAGATAATAAAACAGTGCGCATGCATTGAATATTACTTTTCAAACCCACTGGTTGTTTGATAGTGAGATATTTTATTTCAGGTTGGAATGGAAAGACAAATCACATGGTAGCCAATGGTTCTAATGGAGGAAGGATAGAAGTTATCTGATAAAGAGATCATCATCTAGAGAATGATTAGCACAAAGAAAAATAAAGCTCTGAAGGTTGGTTGCACCAGTCCAAGGAAACTTAAGCCAATGAAGAGTGTTTTCCTCCCACGTATAATTAACACCAGATTTTGGGAGAGAATTCACGGCCACCCATCAAGCTCTTAAACGTAAACATAATATAATAAGTTTCAAGAGGTCTAACCAAGCTGATAAATCTGATGGTAAGAACTAAGCAGATTTAACTCATTTTTTCTATCCACACAAACAAGAGACCCAGCAATCCATGCCTAGGAGTCCCACTTAAATTGATCTTCATATTGTTCAGCTTGGCTTTGTTCAGGGTTTCCAAGTCCAAAGCCTCAGGCATCACATGGAACTTAACTGGAGGTGTTAGACCTGGACGGACCGAATCGGGATAGTCGCTTTTAAAGTAAGTGCGAACTCCAAAGAAGAAATGGGAGAAACTAGAGACTAGGAGAAACAAAAAAATCATTTCATTCATTGCATCAGAGTAGCCACAAGGACTTATATATTTATAGACTCGAAGACTAAATACTACTAATAAACTAATAACCTAGTACTGTTAAGTACTAATGTTGAATAACAAATACTACTAAAACCTAGGGTGTATCAGGAGTTCTATCTTCTGTGTCAACTAGTCATCTAATGTTGAATAATCATCTGTCGAAGATAGTATGCCATACCTTGAATATACAAGCTTGAGGTTTTATATCTTTTGGATCCCCATCCCGGTCCACCACATTAAATGTGATCATTATAGGAACTTTTGCTGCTGATTGTAGAGGAATTCCACTATCAACCTGAATACCCCTGACAAGTTTTGTAGGAGCAGTAGGTAGATATAGGTCATCTCCGTCCATTTCAATTTTCTCCAACTCCCTGTTTCAACATAATGATACAGTATCTCATAATCACAAAATTTTTAATGGAGAAAGAGCACCTTAAGTATTAAGTTGTATAATTACATAAGCCACAATCGTACACGAAATACCCTTTACAACTACCTTCTAATGCCGGCTCGTCTTTCCTCTTTTGGAAGTGGAAATAGAACACCAGATATGGATGTGACTTTGTCAAAGAAATCAAATTCTCTTTGGAAAATATCAAGTGCTTTAGAACTGAAACCATCAATAATTCGTTGTCTGACAACCGGCAGTAGTGCTTGAAACGCACTAGTCTGCAAAAAGGAACAAGCAAATAGTTTAGGAAACTATGATGAACCAATATGTGCAAAAAATTAAAGTAAAACAAAGGTGCTGAATAAGATTAACTATAATTTAGATATACAACGTATATATAGAAATTGCTGCAGTTGAAGCACTACTCATGAGCACTGTTGATTCAGAAATTACTCTACAGCGACTAAATCAGGTTAAAATATGCAAGTTATTACATCAAGTGGATCTTTCTTAAAGAACTACAAAGGTAACGAGCAAAAACTTACTTTGTAGTACATAATTAGCATGGGTTCACAAAAATGGCATAGGAACAAATATGAAATATGAAAATATAAAATGCATATTTCAGTTTTCCTATGGCACAGATAAAATTGATTATGTATAGAATGTATACCGTGGCAGATGGGACATCTTTCTCCAACTCAGGAACACAAGTCTCACCCTGCAAAAGCAACTATGTTATGCCTACTATAAAACAATCTAACATTACATATTAAGCTGTATTAATATTTATTAAACAACCAAACAGACCAGTAAATTAAATTTCTTACCTGCAAATGCCATATCAATATGTGGGCAAAAATATCACTTCTTTGTGCTGCTCTAAGTAAGTAACCCTCAACCAACCTCTGCAAAGAGGAGAAACCCAAAATGCAAAGAAAAATCCATAACATCATCAGATGTAGAAGCAAAATTCTGATACTGACAAAAATTGTTGAAGTTTATATTTATTTATCCTATTGGTTTGTTGGTTTAAAGAATATGTCGAGCAAAACTTATTTGCTTATATGGTAATGAATAGGAATATCTGTATTTTCACGACTGAGGAACTAATTAATCTCAACATCAGAAGTACAGCACGCTGTTGAAATTATAGTATTAATTCATATGCCGTTTGTAAGATAGACTTATTTAGACAGTACGACTGTGCTAACAGAAACCAATATATACATATGTCAAACAAGAACCCACCCCGTCGTCGTATCTTAGTGCTTGTACCAACTGAGGCATGAAGAATGTCACTCTTTCAGGTGGATATGTCTCCAATACCCTGAGAACATAAGCCATCACTCGTGGGTGACCTTTATAAGCTGGAGTAAGAAATTCCAATGCTTGTGTAATTGAACAAGCTGCCCAGTGTGGCAATTGTTGCAAGAGTGTTGAATTTTCATCCACTGCTTTGGGGGTGACAAAATAAGGCAACGCTTCAGCAATGCTGCGGATCTCCAATATATGTGACTAGAGGAAAATGAAAGCACAAGTCAAAATTAGCTAAATCTGAGTAATTAACTAAAGGAAATATAAAAACTATGATGTGAGAGTTAATCGAAGAAAACATCGCCCACAACAGTTAGTCGACTCATGCAAAAATGTAATATCAGAATTTACTCATACTACAGGCACAAATATTACGTGATCATGTAAGTTATAGCTTATGTCGATCAACAAAACAGCAAGCAAGGCATGAACTAACAATCTCTTCTCCTACATCAAAATTCACTTCCAATGTACGGGATTATCAAAAGTCTTACGCTGTCCTAGCAAGTTCACATTTTAGAAAAAAAAAACTTAATCAACATACTTGAACTAGCAAAGTGATTTCACTCTTCAGAGACGCATTTGCCCGAAATCTTGCAGCCAGTGATAGAGCAATACGGGGATCAACAGAAAAGGCAGTCCGTGCAAATTCGATCCATTTATCAGAACTAATTTTGAGCTTAGTAGCGTTCTCCCTGTATAGACATTAGACAGGAAGATTAAAATAAGATTTCACTCCGTTCTAGAAAACAGAAAATAGATTTTCAGACAACAAAATTAAATTAAAGATGATTACTTCGATCCAACTGGTTGAGCCCAAACCTCGAGTCTGTCTGCCTCATGCTGGCACAGCATCAGCAGCAACTGTCTCCGCTTATCTCGTCCAACAACATAATTCTCCATCTGACCCCACACTGGATGATATTGATCCTTCTGCAGAACATAAGAAACTTTTTTCTATTACCACCACAAAATAAATTTTGAAATAAGAAACGTGACAATAATATAGGAGCAGTGAAGAGCAGCATCCCCTGTACTAAAATCCTACCACATCAAGTAAAGAGCCACCATTTTCAGTCCCTCGTGCTTTCTGATCAATCTGTGCTGTCTCTACACGCTCATTTAAAAGGTGTTGGACAAATAATGAAACCGATTGAGCTTCACTTTGAGCAAAATTATTGTTATTAAGATCAAACCACTCCGGTTCATGAGCAAACCATCCTAAGGATGCCCTGTTTTAGCCAAGAGAACACATGCCAGATTACTCAGACATAATATTCATCGAGTACTGGAATATAAGTAATAGATCTAAAAAAATAGATTAAAGAACGTCAAATCTTTTTTATTAAGAAAAAAAAAAACTACGTAAGATCACTAAACTGCTAATCATGGAAGGTTCTCCAATATCAAAGTTGATCAGTGACATTAATAGCTGTGGAACGGATCACGGAACTCTGGCTCTGTAAATCGATATGATTATTTTGCATTCATCTTTAACAATAGTAATAGTAATAGCATTAGAAATTCTTGTGATTTGGTTTCATGAATAAAATGAAATACCATACAATACACATTGATGAAACTTGAATAAAAATGATAATCATTAGATCAAAAGGACTACTAACATTATGCTTTTTCTGCTGCTGTGATGCATATATACGTAACTCAGTAACTACGCATACAAAGCTCATATCAGTGTCATGTACAGGTTTCTGTACATAAACTATATGGGCAACCCAATGGAAATTTGAGTTCTCTCAAAAATTATATTAATAATCAAGATAAATGGTGTGGACAATGGAGTAAAAGATGACCAAAGTGTAAATTATTTTTTTTTCTTTTTTAAGGCGCCATACCTGTATATTCTATCTTCTAGCAACTGAAGCCCTGATCTGAAGTTCTTAAGGTTACCCTGTGTTTGACATGAGCAAAATTTCAGGCCAAAAAGCATAAGGGTGAAGAAAGTTCCGGTAGCAGCCGGGTGCCTCGAAAAATTCCAGGGGAGTTTTGTTGTTCCTTGCAACATTCGACCAAGGAGCAAAAGCTGTTCAACACTATCGTGCCGAACGACCTGAAATGACAAGATTACAAAATTAAATGGACAGATGCATATATTACGTTGTGGTTATAAAATGAAGGATCAACAAGATCATTCACTGCTGCTACAGACTGCAATAGTTTTCAACATTTTCAACTTCAAGCACAAACAATAGTAAGATTTAAGAGAGCAACATCAACTAACATTAGAAATCAGAGTAAAAAAGCAATGCAGAAGCCAGTGATGCTGAATATGACATCCAATATTATATATGTGATATGCTTACTTCAAATCTATCAACAAAAAATCCAATCCATAGTCTATGAGCCATTATTTGTTCAACAGGATCCTTATCGGGTTGCGGCTCAGGCTCTCCAGGAGCAAGATGGGGCCTCAGCTTTGCAGATGGTCCGGAGCATCTTACATCAGATGCAAAAAGGCCTCGCTTTGTGTCTATTGTCCATAACCATGCATCTACTAGCTCAGCAAGGACAAGAGATCCCAATTGAGGAGCAGCAGAAACCAACCACGTCCAGATATACACACCGGTCTCAACAGCGTCAGATGTGGATATATAAGCTGGACACCAGCAAAGAAGACGTAGAAGTTGTGAAAAGCTTTCAGAGTTCGATTTTAAATCTGAATCCTGAAAAAAAAAAATGTCATTTTAGAAATAGAAAAACGCAAATATGTCATTTTAGCATACGAAAAAAGAAGAAAAAGAGATCCATTGTACCAGATTAGAAAGAAGCAATGCAGTAGCTTGAGAACAAATTTCACGAAAAGATGATTTGTCTACATCCTCTCCTTTCTCTGCAGTATTAACAAACTTCTGAAGCAGCTTTACGAACTTGGAAATCAATATCTCATTGAAGGATTCATTCTTGGGTTGTGATTTGGGAGAAGCCCCCAAAGCTGGAAGGTCAAGATTGAGAACATCAGTAGATTGACCAAGGCCACCAATGCTCTCATATAACCTTCTCATGCCCGCAATTTCTCCAGCATGATTACACTTTGCAGTAGCACTGACCATTCCAGTACCAAGAACCTCCAAATTGAATGCATCGGTCAATTTCAAGTTTCCACCCGACGCTGCAGCAGCAGCAGCCATGACTGCAGGGATATTTGCAGTTTTAGTACCAGTCCAACAATCATTTTTACCTGTACCAATCCTTATCTCAGACAAAAGAGAAACCACATCGGCTGTAGGCTGTGTTCGCTGCCATGTATTAGCTTTGCAGAGGTTTTCCTGAACATTGTATGTATCAGAATAAGGGTAACAGACTAAATGTATATCAATATCATACAGTGCTTTATTATATTGCGATACATGCATAGCATGATGCAAGACACAACACCCAAAGAATGGATAAACAGAGACTAACAGAAAAGGCATAGTTATGTGAGTTAATATTATTAGACTACCAAAAAATATATATGTCACAAGTAAAAGCAATATAAGGTACATTCAAAATATTGGACGAAACGCACACCTGAAGGGCAATACACTCTATGGCAGAAATTTATAAGACCAGAAGACAAATACATAGAAGGTGGAACAAAAATTGCATGAAGCATAACATGGCCACTGGAAATCCACCAATCTAGTTTTATCCCACAGCCTATAATGGTAGAGCTGAGAAATTCAATTGCACTGCCCCCCTATAGAATAAAATTAAATTGGCAACCCTCCTAAACTTGTCCTCCTCTATGGAGGTGGAGGGACTCACATGATATTAAAACAGCAGACAGCCAACATCATTTATATTTATGATCATGGAGAAGAAAAGCAAGACTGAACTATTAAAGGAAAACCGAATCTCCTAAAAGAAAAATTACTAGAAATGAAGAAAATGTACAAGCAACCATCCAATTATAGAAGTAAATAAATGACGGAAGAAGAACGGTAGGTAATATATAAATGGGGATAGTAAGGAGAAACCTGAAGAAGGCCCTGACTAGTACATGGAGCATGTGAGAGTGAAACAACTATCCACTCCCGAACAATCTTCTGATACAAAGAGCGGACATTAGCAATATAAGCAGGATCACTAACTACAGCAGAGGGTGGATCATTATGCATTGAGAGTAGCAGAGAATCCAGACATGAAGAATTCCATAATATCTGCAGACCACATACAACATTTATTGGTATCATTAGAGTGACATAAGCACATGAATTACAAGACAACACAGAGCATTTTTACCTGAGGAAATTTATCTCTAAATTGAGTCAGCAAACTAACAGATATATCTCGTACATGCTCGTCCCTCTGGGACAAGTTTTTTATGAGGAAACAGGCATGTATAGAGAGAGTAGACTCTCTAACAACAGCCTCTGGCCCGGTATCAGATGCCCGATCCTCCTGCCATGAGTGGCAAACTATCATATTTGGTAACAAATCTCCAATGAAGATTGAATGCAAATAGATAGTAAGACAATAAAAAATGATATACCACATAGGGTTTGAACTAGATTACATAATGTGAACGTCTTATCCAATACTTATATAATATTGGTTTATCCAATAATTGTAGTTACATTGAAATGAGAAATTGTTAGAAGTAAGATAATCATTATTGACTTCATAAGAATGGTTAAACCCAGGGAAAAGCCATATCTTAATTTGGGTTTTGGAGAATACAACTTCCCATTAAAATGTATAATCCTACAATATATTATAATGTGATATGAATGAGAAACCACAGACCACGCAGTCCCACATACCATTCCTCTTTTTACCGTCTTAACATCTGTATGTTGGGATAATAAACATAAAACGGGTTTCAGCTACAAATTAACATGGACTCAAGTTCAATTATAGGAAGGCATGATTACATGGGAAACAGTTGCAAAATTGAAATCTCCATAACCCCCAGATATCGACCAATATTTCCGAGTTATAAGACAAGAACATCATAGCAAACTAATACAGAACTCCACCAATGAGGACTGTCACCACAAGAAAACTATAAATATTGAAACTATATTATGCAAAGGAGCTGGTAACCAAATTTTGTCACACGTGCATCTATGAGTATGTCCACTTATTTAAACAAGAACAAGAATGAAGGATGATGAGTAGAATACCAGCCAGGATGTTGCAGTTTCAAATGATTGATGGACTATGGCAGTCAAACACTGGGAGACAGCTGGCATGAGATTAGGACTTCTTAGGTATTCGAAAACACAGCTGAAAGCACTCCGAGAAGCACTTAATTCTGGGCCTCCATTAAGAATACCACCATTGCTGCTAAATCGTATTATCTCCAAAAATGCTACAGCTAAAAGATAGGTTGCTTTCACCCCTGCAGAAGGAATAAGAATGGTACCAATCGTTAACAACTAAAAGTACAAACTCCAATTTAATTTGCCAAGCACGGAGTCTTTAATCACCCAGTATCGAAAAAATTAGACCTGAAATTGTACTCATTGCAGAAACCTCCACTCGCCCTCCCAGAGCAGCAGAGAGAGCAGTTCTTTGAGTCACAGCGGCTTTCTCATTTCCACTCCCACGCCGACTACCTGGGTTGTGAAGAGCATTAAGCTCCAACTCATCTTCAAGCCATTTGACAGAGCTCACGACCTGATCAGAAAACCTTTTGTCTCAGAACCATATAGTTATTATGCATTTGCACAAATTGGGCAAATATACAGTAACCAGGTCCTAAGAATATGCAAAGCTACCATTAACCTGATATAAGATGCATTCATAAGAAAAATACTGGGCATATTTGAAAGTAAATCATCCAAGTTATCATTTTGTACTGGTCTACATGGATAAACAGAAGAGCAGTAGCATTTCCATCGTTACTCCTAACAAAAAAAAAAAAAAAAGAACTACACCAATCTATTCAAATGACAAAGCAAATATCCAATAGAGCTGCACAGGCACATAATAATAACTGAGAAGTATACTCTATGTCAACTTACAAGAGGTGGGGTCCCTTGAGAAATTCGCTGAACAGCAGATGACCATAATGAATTCCACATGTATGGTCCGCCTACAGCTTGAAGAGCAATAGTACCCATGCTGCCAGCACTATTGAGGGCAGTTGAAACTGACTTTGTCGTAGTCTGAGTTTTCTGTATTGGAGGTCCTAACCCAAAGAGAGCAATATAGAACCACAAGTTCCGGAATAGCTTCAAGAGTGAAGGTTCCACATTTACGCCAGGCTCAAAGTCTGAACAAATTTCAGCCACAGCAGGTAAAAGAGGTCCAAGAAAATCTGCCCCACTCCTGATATATTGATTTCATCAATAAGAAAAACATCGCAGTCCAAAAATGAAATCTAACAAATTAACTTTGCTGAACGTTACCTTCCACTTTTTGATTCTGCAGCCAAGCCCACATCTGAGCACAGGGACAACAAGCGGTGACGGTAATCTGAACGCAATTTATTACAGGTAATACCTCTTGCAATCAATACAAATCCTGCAGGCAAGGTCTAGATTGATTGAACCAGTGAGAAACCATATCATAATATTCTGCTTGCTAAATTGCTAATTTGCACTCAACAATGTGCTGCAAAGTTCAATTTTACCTCAATGCGTTCAGTTGTTGCTTCAGGTACTTGGGTTTTACTTTCAGCCGAGCCAACCGTAGAGAGCTTACCCAAGTAGCTACGAGTCATCAAAACTACAGCTTCACGGTAAGACTTCTCAAAACCTAAACTCGCCATGCGAGAAACAGCATCAAGAAGCTGCAGTAACACAACAAAAAGAATCAAGTTGAGTACACTGTGCACGGTAAAAAAACAACATCAAAACAATAAATAAGAACCTTGTATTTGGAGCTTACCCAAGGATCATGCCTTTTAATACAGAAATAATCATACATAAGTAAATAAAACGAAGAAACTTGCAGATACATTATGCATTGATGAGATAACATACTCGGAGCCTCAATAAGCATGGGGTTGAAGCATCACCCTCTTCCAAACTCTCAATAAATAGTGGTAATATCATATCAACAACTTCAGGCTTCTTAAGAAAAATGTTCAACTCAGCTAACAAATGTATTACATTCAACTGAACAGGTGGAGCTGCGGGTTTCTCTTTCCCTTCCTGAAAAGTAAAGGGGAATAATAAAAGAAAATAGAAAAGGCATTTACACTTGTGTCTCAAAATAATACAAGGCATTTACACTTGTGTCTCAAAATAATACAGACTAGAAATTACCCATAGAGACTAAAGTAAATAGCAGTATTTGCAGATAATGGGTCACTAACTGCCATTTGCAGATAATGGGTCACTAAAAACACCTCAACCATCAATATGAAATCTGGGTAATTCGATTATTTATATATCAACAACATATTTGTTTACACCAATCAGATTAATAACAGTTTGAAGAAAGCAATCGGACAACAACATCCAAATTCACATTTCCACTACAAGTATCCTTGCCCAAAAAGATATATAACACAAAGCTTTATCAAATTAAAAATGGAAAACTTATATTTACTACTGATGCACAAAGTCAAACGGTAGGAAGTCATGTTTTAAAGTAAAAAGAGATTCAACTACAAATCTAAATATTTCGTATTGGACTACATGATCACAAAGCTTAAGTTACGCTTGGTGATTCCAAAGTTATAATGTGTTTATTGGAAAGGTTTAACATAAATTGCAACTGAGTAGAAATTTGTTGCTTCTCGGCAAAGTAAAATTGAACGTGAGGGCCAAGAAAAGCTAAAGATGCAAATTTGTCAAATGAGAGTAATAATGATGATCATGATGGCTGATAAATATATAAATTAAAGAACCACAAATGCAGCTATAATAACAAAGATCAAAAGCAATCACATGCGCTAACCTCTTCCTCATAATCATTTCTTTCTCGAATACTAGTGGCGAGTCCCATGATAAATGTGTCTACAGGAGACCGGTCCTTAGCCCATCCAAAATCAATTATCTCACAGCATGTTTTCAAGATACTTTCGAACATGGAACCCAGGCTGCTGGAAGAAGTGTCCGCCTGTTAAGAGCAGATCACAAAAAGCAATGCAATTAGTCTAACTCGGAATCACGGAATAATACTCAAAAGAAAAGCACGCATACCTGAGCACAAGTAGCCAGCACAAGGGGTTTAAAACGAATGAGCAGAACTCTGAGGAGCTGGCCGCCACGAGTGACAGCAGCTTGTGAAATTCCAGAAAGCAAACAGCCAAATAGCTCCTCACAAGCTCTCAATTTGCGCCACACACAGAACAAGCATGCCTCGGCAGCCTCTATCAACAATGCGAGAGCTTCATGCAACAATCTCTTTGATGACTTTCCCTCCGCGTCAAGAGATGCCAGGGTCTTGATTTGCATCCTAGCAGCAGCTTGGTAAACAGACAATTTTTTGTTGATCCTAACTTTCAGCAGCTGTCCTTGCTCTGACCATTCGCGCTTCCTTATCTGCCCATGCATAAACAACACATGAATTCATTACATGACAGTTTCGCCCAGATTTAGGCTAATTATCCCGGTTCCCGATTTCCCATACATAAAGATGCTGATTTACCTTTAAGAAAGCAAGCATCGAATGGAGTTGATCTTTCGCTATTCCTCTCACCTGATCCGTGAGCTGTTGATCGATAACCACCTTACTGAATATATGAGCTATTAGTTTAAAAACAATTTCTTGTCTCTCAAGACTCTCAATGGGCTCTTCCTCAAATAATGTCACTATTTTCTTATAGGCCGAGCTACCGCCCCCAACACCACCCTCACCATCATTGAGAGCAAGGCCAACACCAAAAAACTCCCCGCTGCTTTTCCATGCAACGCTACTGCCACCATTCACCACAACCCCCCTTGATGACGATGCATCGTCCTTTGAAGCTGGGCTGCTGGAGTCAACTGAGACGATGCTGGCCTCAGCACTAGGAGACTGAAAGTGGTTCGCACTCAAGGGAGAGCTCTGAGAGGAAGCTGCATCGGGCGTGGGCGAGATTAACTCCCTCGGCAAGCATGGTACCACGACATCATACCGATCCAGAAGAATGGTAATCAACTTGTTCGCATCGGGAGGCAGAATTGGAGGGAAATTCGAGCACAAAGCGTTCAAAAAAACCCTAGAAACGCCAGACCCGGCATTGCTTATTGTCTGCATCACAACTTCCCCGGTGAAGCCCGCTACATCCGTAGCAAACTCCGGCGACAGCTCGGCCGCTTTCGAGATGTAACTGAGGAAATCGTTGAAGAAAGAAGAAATCGCCTCCACCGGAAACGCCTGCGGCCAGAATTTGACGTCGAAGGATGAAGGAATCGACCGGTAGAACGCGAGGATCAGCGATTTGGGGGCCTCCTGATCGGAACTCGGGCACTTCGAGAGGAAGCGCGCCACCGCGAGTACAGCGTGGAGCTGCGATCTCGACACCACGGGCGATCCAACCAGCAGCGACTCCGCCGGCGGGCAGCGGCTGCAAATCCACGTGATTTTATCGGGAAATTGAACCGGGTTTTGAGCGATTAGATCACAGAGCTCCATCAACGACTCCATCGCGCGAAGGGGCTTCAATTCCGTTTCGTCGATATTCTCCAAATTCGCCCCCTAAATTCTCATTGATCCAGACAGTAAATTGATAAATGTGTGCGAATTGGCGTGATCTCGATAACGAGGTATGAGGTTGTTAGGGTTCACGAGAGTGGGGCGGTGGGCGCGAGGGCCGACGGCGGTGATGGGACGGCGTTGTGAGGTGGTTGTCGGTCTTGTTCTTCGCCCAGAGGGGTGCTGGGGTTGAGGGCACACATTACCGCGCCTCCATTTTTTCAGATCTTTTTGTTTTTTGTATGTGTTTTTTGTTTTTTCCTTCTCGTTGATTTTTTGAAAAATTGGAAAGGGGAATAAAAACCGATGGCCTCTTTTTCTTTATTCTATCCCCAAACCAAAATGATAGGAAAATGGATTTTATATTGTTAGTTTCATTCATTTTGACATTTGTTCTTGGTACATGAAATTAGTGGCCAAACACATTTCATGATTTCACTTGCCTCCTAACCCCTTTTAAAAGTTTCTTAAATTAAATTGACCTACTCACACTTTTTATGGGTTGCATTTCATGATTTTGGCGCGATCAGCGCATAGCAGATAGCGGATTGTATCAGCAGATAGCGAATTGTATTAGCGGATAAGCAGATTATATTAGCTGATTTGACTAGCGGATTGTATTAGCGATTTTTAAATAAGTGTTTAGTAAATAGCTGGAAATTTATAGCTGTTTGACATTACAAAATGACCAATAATGATATTTTATTATTTAGGGTGTATTCTTTTAATAATAATATATAAAAATATTTAATATTTTTTAGTTGGTAATTTATAAATATATTTTTTTTTAAAAAAAATTACTAACACTTGATGAATAAATTATGAATTTTATATTTTTCTATATAAATTAATCATATGGATGACATATTATTATTTATTAGCACCATAAACCAATGTAGATTGTAAAATAAGTAATACAAATTAAAAAGTTCCAAGTAAAT